GAAAAGAAAGATACCAAACAAGGCGAGGCAAATAGTTTATAAAGTATGTAGCACTAAAATAGTCGAAAACGGCCAATTATACCCTATAACACAATAGTTACTTTACCAAGTAATTAGTTACTTTTACATTATTGTAGCTGAGTTACTAACTCAATTACTTTTTTGAAGAAACAAGTAGTAACTATAACTAATTACTTTTTCAAAGTAACTTTGAAGGGACAGAATTAAAAAGGTCTTGCACTATCAAAGTAAAACAGGAAGTAAGACCACCCAAAACTCCAGGAATCAAAGACGAACAGCAGCGGCAGAACACGCTGAACACAGATCGCAGCATTCACGAGAAGCTGAGAGTTTCACCCCCACCCACGCGTGCAGAGTAGGACGCACCTCCACCCGCGGGATCTGAAAACACTTACATGTTCAGCTCAGCTGGCTCAGACTGCAGAGCTTCAGGCACAGATTTAGTTTTGTAGTTGGTTTGTAGGTTGGAGTAACTGGGCTGTAAGCTCTAAAAGCAGCGCAGGTCAGTCTTAAGTGTGTCTGTCATCAGTGGGCGGAGTCCAGGTTAGGCTGAACTTTAACTTAAGGTGTTTGCGTTCAGGATTAACGCGTGATTTCACTAATCTGTGAATGTGACGAGTCAGAGCCGCTCTTTATATTCTCTCCTTTCTTCTCACTTTCAGACACATCTCCAGCCACCTCCACCTTTTCTTCATCCACACCGCTGGACCTGTCTAACTCCGCCCAAACCATCAGGAGTCCTGGGAACGCTGTCACGGACAATCTGTCACCTCCAGATGTTTCCCCTGCAGTCACCCACCTATCCCCTTTAAATGGCACAGCTGCTTTTACCATGGACCAGTCAGTCGCCTCGGAGACCTCGTCAGGTGGAGGTGACTCCCTAGTCAGGACGGAGATGGTCACGTCGTCGTACGAGTTGTTGTCCTCCATCGCTAGAAACCAGTCCAAGTCGAGCGGAGATGGAGGCGTGACGCTGGGTTCCTCACGTGTGAGCACAGGTGGAGCAACCGACGTCATAACTGAGCTACAACCCGAGGATGGATCCACACACCAAACATCTGCAGCACCCTCAGACAGCACCGCCTCAGCTGCACCCACCACTCCTCCACCGTCTGCATCCAGCACCAGCACACATAGACCACCCAGGACTCACAGTCAGACCCCGCCCACAGACTCCACCCTTCATCCAAACATCTCAGAGAGTCTGACTCAAGGAGTATTATCAACAGCACCAACAGGTGATGCGGTCCCTGCAAGTAGCACCTCAGCTCCATCAGTCCCACAAACGACAACAAACACCAGCACCACTGCTGCTGTAACCACACCCTCTACGAGCAGCATAACAGCGCCTGCTCCAACCACAGCCATCAAAACC